AAGTTTGATGAATCAGACTTCGCCTACTGGAAGTCACAGATGGAGGACTATCTGTACTAGAAGGATCTTTATCGTCCGTTGATAGGTAAAGCAAAAGGAAAGAAGAAGGATGAGACCGACGTGGACTAGGTAATATTGGATCGAAACGCTCTAGGGCAGATCTGATTGTCGTTCGCAAAATCAGTCATACACAATATATTAAAGGAGAAGACGACGGTGGGGCTTATGGAAGCGCTCGCGAAGATGTATGAGCAACCATCAGCTACAAACAAAGTGCATCTCGTCAAAACGCTCTTTCACCTCAAGATTACAGATGGATGTTCCTTCACGATGCATCTTAGCGAATTCAACACGATTGTTGATCAACTCATCTTAGTCGACATCACGTTTGATGACTATGTGCAGGTCGTATTGATACTATCGCAGTTGTCAGATAGTTGGGTAGGTTGTGTGATCGCAATCAGCATTGGGTAGGTTGTGTGATCGCAATCAGCAACTCGGCAGGGAAGAAAAAGTTAAAGTTGTACGAGATTGTTAGTATGATTCTATCCGAGGAGGTTAGAAGAAAATCGCACAAATCAGAAGGTTCAGGTTTAGCCCTAAGTCTCGAGCAGAGAGGCCGAAGCCGTTTAAGGGTAACCAGAATAGGAATCGATCAAAGTCGAAGAAGAAGAGGTCGAACTCGAAGGTGAGACCTATCAAAGGGAAATTTTAGAACTGCGGCCAGGAGGAACATATGTCTTCAGCTTATATATCACCAAAGAAGGATGCAAGTGAGAAGGAGGCTCATCTTGTACAAGATGCCTTGATCCTTGCTATGGACATCGACTCCTATTCATGGGTTATTGATTCGGGATTCTCATTCCATGCGCACTGCTAATAGGAAGCTTTTTCATAACTATGTAGCAGGAGACTTTGAGAAAGTATACTTGGGGACAACGAGCCATGTAGTATTGTTGGAAGAGGTAATGTGCAGATACATATGAAGTGCTCCAAGTGGAATCTAAAGAATGTCAGACATGTACTGAAGCTGAAGAGGAATCTTTTTTCGGTTGGCGAGCTTGGAGCAGAAGGCTATGTTGTAATATTTACTAAGGATTCGTGAAAAATATCTAACAGTACTATGGTGGTTGCCTGTGACAATAAGACCGAAACACTCTACCTAACTTCGCATACGAGTGACACCCTCGCAATTACAGCTGGCAAGGAGAGTACAGATCTGTGGCACAATAGGTTAGGACATATGAGTGAGAAGGGTATGAAGATTCTACACTCAGAGGGAAAGCTAATCGGCATCGATTCAGTGGAAGTTAGTATTTGTGAAGACTGCATCTACGGGAAGTAGAAAACTGTTAGCTTTTAGAAGAGTGGAAGACCACCTAAAGCTCACAAGCTAGAGCTTGTTCATACAGATGTATGTGGTCCAGCTAGCGTGTCTTCTCTTGACGATTCGACTTACTACGTCACCTTTATCGACGATCACTCGAGAAAGGTGTGTGTATACTTCATGAAGCACAAGTCAGAGGTGTTTGGAATCTTCAAGAAGTAAAAAGTCATGGTGGAGAATGAGATAGATCTGAAAGACAGTGGTATAGAGTATGAGCTGGAGGAGTTCAAGAAGTTCTGTGCTCTGAATGGAATTCATTTAGAGAGGACTACTCCAGGGATACTACAACAGAATGGTGTTATAGAGAGAATGAACAGAACATTGACTGAGCGTGCGAGGAGCATGCGTCTACATGCAGGTCTACCAAAAAAATTTTGGACGGACACGGTGCATATAATAACTTACTTAATTAATCATGGGTCATCAGTTCCATTAGACTTTGGGATTCAAGAGGAGGTTTGGAGTGACAAGAAGGTTAATCTATCACACTTGCGAGTATTTGGCTGCGTGGCATATGTTCATATTAGTGATCATGTCAGCGACAAACTAAAAGCTAAGTCACAGAATGGTACATTCATTGGATACGGCATTGATGAGTTCAGATATCGTCTGTGGGATGAGAAGAACAAGAAAATCATCAGGAGCCGAGACGTCATATTCAATGAAGAGGTGATGTACAAGGATAGGGAAAATACCAAGAATAGCAAAAGCAGTGGGAGCAGCACAACGGATGCGGGCGGATCCGAGTACATGGATTTGGAGGAACTTCCAGATGGGGGAGACAGTGTCACCTCTGACCAAAGAATAGAGGAGACTCCAGGTACAGAGACGACTACCCAGGGCGAGGAGCTTAGGAGGTCATCCAGGGTACCAAACCGAATCTCATATATCTTTCGTCACTTGATTACTTGCTTTTGACAGATAGCGGAGAACCGGAATGCTATGAGAGGCCATGTAAGTTAGTGAATCTCAGTAGTGGGAACATGTGATGCAAGAAGAGATGGATTCTCTCCACTCGAATGAGACATAGGAGTTAGCCCAGCTACCTGCATAAAAAAAACCTTACATAACAAGTGGGTTTACTGGGCCAAGCAGGAGAGTGATGGAAGCAAGAGATACAAGGTCAGATTAGTTGTGAAAGGATTCCACAGAGAGAATGAGTGGATTATACAGAGATATTTTCCCCTGTAGTGAAGCTCACAACCATCAGGGTGGTGTTGAGCTTAGTAGCTACTGAAAATCTTTACCTTAAGCATTTGGATGTAAAGACTGTCTTTCTTCATGATGACTTGGATGAAAAAATCTACATGAAGTAACATGTTGGCTTTATTGAGGAAGGAAAGGAAGAGATAGTGTAGAGTCATGAAGAGCTTTTAGGTTTGAAACAGGCTCCAAGGCAGTGGTATAAGAAATTTGATAACTTCATGCAGAACAATGGCTATGAAAGGTGTAACTCAGATCATTGCTGCTACTTCAAGAGGTTCAAACCCAGCTATATCGTGTTATTACTGTATGTAGATGACATGTTAGTTGCAGGACCGTGTTTATAGGAGATAAACAAGTTGAAGAAGCATTTGATAAAGGAGTTTGCTATGAAAGATTTGGGTGCAGCCAAGCAGATTCTTGGTATGCGAATCAGTCGGAATGTGGCTGAAGGGACGTTGAAGTTGAGTTAGGCTGAATACATTGAGAAGGTACTTTAGAGATTCAACATGTAGAATGCTAAGGCCATTAGCACACTCCTTGGAAGTCAATTCAGGTTATTTGAGGAACAATCACCAAAGACGGATGCAGAGGAGGAGCACATGAGAAAAGTACCATATTCACCAGCCATTGTAGTCTGATATATGCAATAGTTTGCATGAGGTCGGATATCGCCCATGCAGTAGGAGTTGTGAGCATGTTTGCAAGCAACCTAGGGAAGCAGCATTGGGAGGTCGTGAAGTGGATCCTGAGATACTTAAGAGGGATTACAGATATGCCACTGTGTTTTGGGAAAAAAGAATTGGTACTGCAAGAATACATGGGTGTAGATTTTACCGGTGATTATGATACGAGGTAAAGCACCATGAGATATGTTTATACATTAGGGTCGACAATAGTGAGCTGGGTCTCACGTTTACAGAAGATAGTGACTTTGTCCACGACTGAGATAGAGTATATCACAGTGACTGAAGCCGGCAAGGAGATGATTTGATTAATCAGGTGTCTGGAAGAGTTGGGTCTAAAGCGGGGAAACGAAGTTCTTTATTGTGATAGCTAGAATGTTATACACATTGCCAAGAACCCAATATATCATGCCAGAATAAAGCACATCGACGTACGTTACCATTTCCTACGCTCTCTGATAGAGGATGAGAAGTTACTATTAGAGAAGATTTTGGGGAGCTAAAATCTTGCAGATATGTTGACAAAGACAGTGACCATTCAGAAACTGGAGTTGTGAGCAACTTCAGTTGACCTTCATGAGTAGGAGATGAGGGCGGAGCCACACTATGAGAAAGATATTAAATTAAAGAAAGAGATTCTCCGGGTAGGAGAAGGTGCTTACTAAGTTGAAGAGAGCTTTTGACGGATGTTTAGTCTTCAAGTGGGAGATTGTTCATTTCAGGTGTAGACCCAAACCTTAGAACAAGCATGCAAAGCAAAGATTTCTCTAAACTTTGGAAGTTCAGGCGAACTTGAAAGTTCAGGTGAAGCTCGAAGCTGAGTTCAGGCGAACCTGCAGTTCATGCGAGCTTTGGAAGTTCAGACGAACTTGGAAGATCAGGCGAGCATTGGAGGTTCAGGCGAACTCTAAGTGCAGGCGAACTCCAAGTGCATGCGAGCTCCAAGTGCAAGCGAACTCCAAGTGCAGGCGAAGCAGTTCAGACGAGCTTGGCTATGTTCAGGTGAATATAAGTCATACAGGCGAGCTTCGCAGTCAGGCGAACTCGTAGAAAACAGATTCCTAACCTGTTTTTACCTAGGGTTTCCTTATAAATAGGGAACCATGGCCGCCACTTAAACGCGAGTTTTCCAGAGCGATCTCTAGAACATTTTTGGCGGCGATTTTTTGTAGCGCCTTGAGCGGTGATTTTTCAGAGAAAAATCTCGCGCCTTGAGAAATAAAAAGAGAGTTCTTTTTGAGTGATCTCAAGGAGTTTGAGATCATCTCTTGGAAGCTTTGTAATCTTCTTTAATATTCAAAGAAATTTTTTTGTGTGGCTTCCGAGGACGTAGGAAAGTTGCCGAACCTCGTTAAAATTTTGGTGTTCTCTCTTCTATTTTTTCCTTGCAAAGTTTTCTTTTTATTTGCTGTGATTTCTTCTTGCCTTCTTCCAACACAAGATCCGGAAGGGCACGTTTCGCGAGAGGGTTCATTTGACAGGTTGTTGATAGGACGAATCCGACCTAACACTTTATTCTCATGAAGAAAATAATCTATAAACAATGAACAATGGAAGAATGGAGATGCCGCCAAACACAACTTTTGGGAGGTTATGTTTGAGCAAGCAACAATGGAGAGAGCATTTCAACTCTGGGAGAAATATGTTACAGCTCCAAAAACAAAGGGGCTATTTGTAAATTTCCCCAATCACCGCATACATGGCAACGATGGGGAGAACTAAAATTGCACTGAAACCGAACAACGCGACGGAGAGTCCGCCTATTCATTTGCTGGTCATCGCCGATCTCCCCGCTCTCTCTCTGCTTCCCCCATTTCCCAAATTTCCTCTTTCACTTCTATTCAAACCCTAGATTTCAATCTTCGATTTCGACAGAAAAATAGGAGGAAAAAAAATCAACTATTTCTTCAAAGATCCTTTGATCCTCTTGTCTTGTCGACAATGGAGGATGAGTGTTGCTCGACGCAGTTGATCGATGGAGAGGGCGAGTTCAACGTCGCCGGATTGGATCATTTCATGAAGACGGTGAAGCTTAAAGAATGCGGGCTCTCGTACGCCGTTGTCTCCATCATGGGACCCCAGAGCAGCGGTATTTTCCGCCAACACGATCGCATTGCTTTGTTTCCTGATAATTCTTTGAGAACCGTGAAGTTGAAAGATCGTTTCTTTAGAGAAATTTGGTTGAAAAATTGCAACGTTATGCCTGAAAATAGATGCATGCAACCTTACATTTTTCTTGCTTTTTAAATATATTTAGGGATAATGCTTCGTCATTTATAGAACTCACCCCTGTTAGAGCAACCGCCTCCTCGTTTTTTTGACGTGTACCAAACACCCCGAACACACCACTACGCTTCCGCAGTCTCCGTGCACACATGGGTTGGTTGTGCACTAGTCTGGTCTTGGTCGATCACCACAATCCCGCGGTTACCTCCTTGGCTTTGCACTAGGTTATTCCCAGTGTAATGCCCGTCTGACCACCCATGCCGCTTAACCACAATCCTGCCGCCACCCCTTTGTCTTTGCACTAGACTAGTAACAGGCAAATGCTATAATGCCCGTGTCACCAGCCAAAAGCTAGTTGGGGTGGCACTGATGCCAATTGTAAAGACCAAGGAGAACTTACCCCTAAAAGCTCTTTGTTAGAGAAAAGGAAAACAAAGTCTCTTACAATCCCACAATTGACTCCTAATTTAATAAATGTGGCCCTAACTCAAACTTGCATGTATTAGACTTGTGAAGGTTTGGGCCTGTTGATAAATAGAAAATTGACCAGTAGAAGAGTGCAGTTGATCATAATTGATGTAACTGAATACTATAGTTTAGATAGGAAAGCTTTGTGGCACTCTACAGTAAGGTTCTTTGTGAATTAGTGACTATTATTCTGGGCAATGAATTATGAGGTTCATCATTTTCACGAGTTAGCACGAGGAGAGGATAAATAAGGTGTAAAGTGGTGAATTAAGTTAAGCTTCTCTAGAATTATGACTTGTTTGTTGGTCATAGTCTTTTATTTGAGTGAATAAGAAGCAAGCAAGAGTTTCTGCACTGAGAATTGAAGTTCGAATTTTTTTAGATTTTTTCCTGAACTGAGATTTAACTTTTTATAACTAAAATGAAGTTCGTATGGATCTCTTCCCATTCATAATCACACAACTTGAGGATGTTGATCCATTGCTTACTTATTGGGACTTATTCTAGTCTACTTTCATATTCAGAAGGCCTTTTTCATAAGTATGATTTCATATTAGTTAGGATATGTTAGGAGTCTCTGATTTAAGGTTAGCAGGCTCTGTGGTTCTTAGGCTGTCAAGTCTATTTGGAGATATCATGCAGCTTCTATTGCCTATTATGGTAAACACGATCAGTGAAGCACATTACAAGGTAATGAATAAGGTTTACTTAAACATGAATTGCTTGCAGGTCGAATTAAAGAATTTATATCTCGTAGTTCATTTATTTTTGGGTTTCATCGTTAAGTCATAAAATTTAAATTCTTGAGCAGGTAAGAGCACCTTACTTAACCATCTATTTAGTACAAACTTCAGGGAAATGGATGCTTTCAGAGGAAGGTGCATATTCTGTTGTCTTTTCTAATATTAAACATGTAGATATCCTATTAGCATTATTTATTGATGCTGATAACCTTTCTTATGGATTGAGAAAACATTTCTCCTCATCAGGAGTCAAACTACTAAAGGTATCTGGATAGCACATTGTGTGGGCCTTGAACCTTGCACAATTGTTGCAGACTTGGAGGGCATGGATGGCAGGGAGAGAGGAGAGGTGAATTTCTTTTATTAGTTACTACTTAAAACATAGATGCGACATTGATAATTTGTCATGCTATTTCATCTGTTGCCTTGGCTGCTGCTTTTGACTATTGTTCAAAGGAAAATCTTACAATTGGTTGATGAATAGGACGTTTCTTTTGGTGGAAGAAATATATTTCTAGAAGAAAGATAAATTTTTAAGTGAGGTTTCTTTTTTTACTCGCAGAGCTGGTATTCATGCCCTTGTAATTCTTGTGTTATATTTGATAATTGTTTCTCCTACATTTTATTACTGTTTTTCCTTTCCTGGATGATACTGCATTTGAGAAGCGAAGCGCCCTCCTTAGTTTTTGTTTAAAACATACGTGTGATATTACTAAGTTTTTCTTTTCAATTGATACCCTCGAACATTTCTTATTTACCCTCCGTATCATTATAATAGCTAATATCCCCTTCCAAATTTGTATCTGCTAATTTTTACCCACTAATTTAACTGTTAGAGAGTCCTGTTGGAATATTCTTTATATTTATATTTTGCTAAAGTGAACTATCTCACAAATACCAAATCTGCTTCAATTATATTAATTAATTTAAAAATAACCCTCTTCTCCACTTGGCCCCACCTATAAAAAAATCACCTGGTTACTTCTAATATGGAACCATGCCCGTACCTGACACATGTCATACCCGTGGCCGACAATTCTTGGACATTCCTTAAATCTATGTATATATTTATTCAGACAGTGAGAGAGCTAGGAACTCATAATAGTGGTGTCACAATACATAAAAAGACGATATTACTAATTTTTCCCCTTATATATTCAATATAATCAGGAACTTTAATGAGCTACAAAAGATGTATTTGACTAAGTACAATTACAATTGACTCCTACATGTCCTCGTGTTTTGAAATTGTTTCATTATAACCTCATTCAAAATACCACTACATACTTCTTTTCAATTTAAGTTTCTAATATGTCGTTCGTCCATTAGTGAACCATTCGATTTCATAGACAATCTTTTTCAAAACAAGTTACTGAGTTATTTATTTTTCTTTTTCAAAATTATGTTAACTATTTGGTACAAGGGTTTTTGGGATTGGATCATGTAAAGGCTTGGTCCATTAGAGATAAATCTTCAATGGTCCACTACTCACTATTTAACTTTATAACAGTATCACTAATGGGTCATAAGCTTGTATATACTAGTTTAATTTTTTTGCTAGTAGAGTGACACCACCCTCTCTAAGGTACCTCCGCCCCTGTATTCAGACCAGTAATTAAAATCCTCGTCATAAACTTCTCAGATATATATCCTACACGTCACATCCATTTTTATAACTTGTTGGATAAGGATCGAGTTTGTTTCAGCCTTTAGAACTACAATTTAAAAAGGTTGATTATATATATAGCTTTGAACTATGATTATATCCTATGACTTTCAGTCATATCCCGGTACCCTACCTTTTACAAATTTGCCGTGTCCCATTACCATACCTGTCGAACTTAGGGCCCCATTGGTCAGAGTTGCT